TATACATATACATATACATATACATATACATATACATATACATATACATATACATATACATATACATATACATGTACGTGCGTACGTGCGTACGTGCGTACGTGCGTACGTGCGTACGTGCATACATAGCAATAGCAATAGCAATAGCAATAGCAATAGCAGTTAGACTTATATACCGCTTCATAGGGCTTTCAGCCCTCTCTAAGCGGTTTACAGAGTCAGCATATCGCCCCCACAGTCTGGGTCCTCATTTCACCCACCTCGGAAAGATGGAAGGCTGAGTCAACCTTGAGCCGGTGAGATTTGAACCTCTGAACTGCAGATAGCAATCAGCTGAAGTGGCCTGCAGTACTGCACTCTAACCACTGCGCCACCTCGGCTCTCTATAGTGCATATAGTATATGCACTATACTATTATATTGTAATATAATTATTACACTATTATTAGAATTGTTAAGAACTTCAAGAAGGCAATAATTGAATTGTAAACCACAAAAGCAGAATTTACATGCTGATATAGGAAGCTGTAAAAATTATATGTTGTTATGTTCTTTGTGTTTTTACCTGTTTTGTATTTGTTTTTGTATTTTCCTTTGTGTTTGTAGTTTTTAAACTTGAAAATGTTCAATGAAAACTATTTTTTAAAAAATGCTAAAAGAAAGTTTGACAATCAGCTGTGCTGCGCAATTGCTGGAACTTTTTTAAAACTTTTTTTTTAGCATTTTTTAACTACCGGGAGTTCCGGAACTTAAAAAATGCTAGAAAAGTAAAAGAAAAGTTTTATCAGCTGTTTGACAATCAGCTGTGCTGTGTGATCACTGGAACTTTTAAAAAACTTTTAAAAAGCATTTTTTAACTACCGGGAAATCCGGTAGTTAAGAAATGCTAAAAAAGGTTAAAAAAAAGTTCAGATGATCAGCTGTTTGACAATCAGCTGTGCCGTGCGATCAACGGAACTTTTAAAAAAGCTTTTTTAAAAGCATTTTTTAACTATCGGGAAATCCGGTAGTTAAAAAATGCTAAAAAGTTTTTTAAAAGTTCCGATGGCCAGCTGTTTGACAATCAGCTGTGCCGCGCGATTGCCGGAACTTTTTTTTTAGCATTTGTTAACTACCCGGGAGTATTGGTAGTTAAAAAATGCTAAAGAAAGTTAAAAAAAAACACCAGTTGGCCACGCCCACCCAGTCACATGACACCCCCCTCCACATCACGCCCACCAAGCCCCCACCCACAGAACCGGCAGGGATAATTTTTGAATATCACCACTGCCCCACAGCAACTCCTTTCTTTCCTTTCCTTCGTAGGAATTTGCGGTCCCGGATTTCCGTACCTCCCACTTGGAAGTCAGCCAGGGTAGCCAACTTCTGCAGCAACAGCTCCGCCGTCGCCCCTCTTTGCTCTCCGAATTTCATCCTGGCTCGGACCGGTAAGCGTTGGCGGTTTTCTCTGCGAGTATTGGTGGTTTTTTTTTTTCCCTTTTGTAACCTGGGAAGACTTTTAGAAGAGCTCCGAGCCTGATCTCCAGTGGTGGGATACGACCGATACGCTCCGGTACGGTCGTACCGTTGCCTGCTGGGGAGCACCAGGTACCATTCCGGTACGGTGCTCCGGAGGGCCCACCCACCGCCCTCTCTCCTTACTGTTCCTTACTATTTGAGCCGAACGAGCCATTTGTGCATGTGCACAGAGCATATGGCGCCTGCGCGACGCTCCGCCGAGCAGCTGGAGTGTCGTGGGCAGTGGGTACGCCCGTTGCACCGTATCGGTGCAATGACCAAGCTCAGAGAGCCCCCAAGATCCCAGGGTTGGCCCTGAGCTACAAAGATTCTCTTCTACCTGTTCCATATATTTTTTGCCTAACTTTTCTTGGGCTGGTTGAGGGAGACCTCGGAGCTCTGGCTGATTTTTTTCCACAGCTCCCCGCTTCTCTTCTTCCTCACCCTCCCATCTTCGCCTTCCTCTTCTTCCTCCAGGCCTCAGGAGAGGAGATCGGGGTACGAGTCCCAGTTCCACGCTGGCCCTTCCCAAGCCGATCATGACACGCTGGACTCCAAGCGGCCGCGCCTGGACCAGCTGTCCGATTCCCATTACCAGCGGGTCAACGCCACTGCGGTCCTGCCCTTGGCCCATCAGCTCCAGGAAGGGCTGCGCTCATCGGACCTGAAGAAGGTAAAGTAGACCCTGGGGAAAAGGGGAGGGTTTGGCTTTTCGGGCAGCCGATCCATGGATAATACAGCGAGTCCTCGACTTACGACGGGTATTGGGCCCGGAAGTTCTATTGCGAAACGAGTTAGTTGTTAAAGTGGGTTTTGTCCCCCTTTGACAACCTTCCTCGCCGCGGCTGTTAAGCGAATGCCTGCGGTTGTTAAATGAGTCACACGGTTGTTAAGCGAATCCGGCTTCCCCGTTGACTTTGCTTGTCAGAGGGTCGTAAAAGTTTTTTAAGTGCAGTTTTTCACGCGCCTCCACTGGGTGTGATTAAAATATCAGAAACATCCCCCCCCCCCCCCCCCNTCTTCAAGTTGCCAAGGTTGAGAAACACTGGTGTATATGATGAGAACAATGGCTGTAATTAAGGTGTATAATATGAAGGGTATTCAAAAGAAATTTGATTATGGACAGTATGCTGTTGTTGCAGAAATGGAAACGTGATGTTATAATGAAAGAAAACGTGTAATAAAAAAATAATACAAATAAATAAATACGAGTCAATTGCCAAGTCTCTGAATTAGGCTCAGGTTACTAGGAGAATGCCGCAGTGGTCGTAAGCACGAAGATCGGTCATAAACCACTTTTTTCAGTGTCGTCGTAACTTTGAATGGTCATTAAATGAAGTTGTAAGCCGAGGATTACTTGTACACAAGCTTGTTTTTCCTCCTCCTTGGCGGGGGGCATCATCAGAAATTTTCTTTTTCTGCAACAAATTTGTTTGGCTCCCGGTGCACAGTCACACATAGGTTACTCCAGGTAGCTTAGAAGTATTTAAAATATCTGTAATATAATAAAACCCATTAAACCTGCCTCCTTCCAACATGGGCCACGCATGACCAATTTAAAAAAAAAAACATTTTAAGTGCCAGTTAAGTTAAATAATAACCAAGCAGTTTAGAGGGTTAGGATTGTAAGCTGCCCAGACTGTGAGATGGGTGGCCTGTAACTTTAACACAGGTAGTCTGCTGTGGCTCACCAGTAGCCAGCAGATTCGGATAGTGGAGAGGTTGGGGAGGAACATTTTCCAGTCCTGGAGTCTGGGGAAGGCTCTGATGAGGCAGAGAGGGGGCCGGGGCCATCCGAGCTGCCTTCAGAGTCGGAGATCAGTGAGGCAGAAGAACATCTGGAGCCTGTTACCAGTGTGTGCATGCCCAGAGTCGCCAGGAGAAGGGAAGGCGCTAAAGAACAGGGGCCGACTTGGGAGTAAGGCCACAGATGGATGATGTATGGCCCCTCCCAGAGGGAACAAAAGAGGAGCGAAAGGGGAGTGGAGTTTGCAGGAGACAGTTGGTTCGCTTCATTGGTTCGTGACTCTCCGAGACTCCTGGCCAAGTTCTGCAGATCTCGGCCTGGCAGCTCTCCAAGCCAGATAAGGTCTGTGACTGTAAATCCTCCCTTGAAAGACTTTGCTGGAGATGAATGAGCAGAATCCACAGCAAATTAATAAAAGGGTTTTTTTTGTCGGAACAAGGAGTTTGCTTCAGGCTCTTGGAAAGCCTCAGTCAGAACAGTAGTCCTCGACTTACGACAGTTCGTTTAGCAACCGTTCAAAGTTACAACGTCGCTGAAAAAAATGACATAGAACTCCCAGGATTTAGAACAGTGTTTCCCAGCATAGCTGACTGGGGAATTCTGGGAGTTGAAGTCAACATATTTTAAAGTGATCCAGGTTGGGAAACACTGCTTTAGAAAATGCGTCCATTTATGGATAGTCTTCAATTTACAACTGTTCATTTAATGACCAGAGGCAGGCCAAATGTTCCTGGAGAAGGTGGACCCAGGCTGTCATGTTCTTTCTCATCCTTTCGGTCCTGAAGAATACGCCTCTCTCTGCCCCCACAATACGGGTGAAATGCTACTGGTTCGGGCTGATTCGCCCGAAGAGGTAGTAAAAATGCTACTGGTTCACCCAAACCAGTAGTTTAAAAATGCTAAAAAAATGCTGAAATGAACAGGATGACCATAGAATTAAAAGAAAGAGAAGAGTCGGGCTATTATAAACACATGGAGTAAATTGTACAAGTGGCTAGAGAATAGAAGCCAAAACAAGAAATGAAAGTTTTAAAAACTATGGATTATACTATGGAGAAAAATGGTATATATGAAAAATGTGCTGATATAGTAGCAATAGCAGTTAGAACTTATATACCGCTTCATAGGGCTTTCAGCCCTCTCTAAGCGGTTTACAGAGTCAGCATATCGCCCCCACAGTCTGGGTCCTCATTTCACCCACCTCGGAAGGATGGAAGGCTGAGTCAGCTTTGCCTCCAGAAGTTGGGGGCGCCTCATCACTG